AGGCTGGAAAACAGGCTTTCTTTGTTCACTTGAATGACTGGGGTTGAGGTTTTCTCCCTTGGGAAGTGACTATGAGCAGAGGTTTGTCTGAAAGAGTTCATTTCCTCTGCATGAATGTCCCTGGTGTCCTCTGGGCTTAACCTCATTGTGGCTAGGGTTGGTGTTGGCTGGATGACTCAACTCCCAATTCTGTACTTCTATATGATTTCCAATTCCTGTGAGAACAGAAAAGATGGCACTCAGTCTTTTTTTTTTTTTAGGTAATTCTGCACAGCAGATGATGGAAAACTGTTGGCATAAATTATCTGATTTTGTCTTCCCAACACCATGGCCTGAGTATTAGAATATGGGCAAGTCATGGGCAAGGACGCTCAAATCTGGAGAGGGAAGTTGATTGACCCCCAAATAATTATTTTTGATTAGTTAGTCTGAAAGGAAAATATCATACCCGTAGTTGAGGCCCTTTGATTCTTTATAAGTGATTACTCCCTATGGCTCAGGATGGTGGGGCGGGGAGGAGGCAATGGGCAGCAGGGTAGGAAATGGTAGAAGTATTTCTATGGCTGATATCCTCTAAGGTCCACGATTTTTGTTGTGGGTAAAATGTAGCCAACCAGCACAGAAACTACCTTCTTCTCATTTATTTTTCGTTCTTCCGGCCATGAATCATTTGAGCCTGAGTCTGGAAGGCCATTTCAGTCTGGAAAAGTGATATTTTAAAGAAGGTACTCAAGCCATTATTATACAGAGCAAAGAGCTAAATGATGCTCAGGATGGAATGATTTATGCCACAGACCACGAAAGACATAAATTCAGAGTGTAAATTGCAAGAGAGCTCATGTGCAAAATTGTTGCAATATTTATATGAGTGTTTATTAAAATTTACATTTGAATAAAAGGTGCAAAATGCAAATGAAGCTGGAAAAGGTTTTTTTTAATAAAAACTAACGTAGCTTATATGAAAACCAAGAGAGGTTTTTGGAAGAGAAGATATTGTACTGTATGCAGATTTGTCTGCTAAAGCGTGAAATACACAATCGAATTGGAAGGAATAAGGTCACCCAATCCCCGCCTGAATTTTCTTCCTCCCTGCCCACTGATACTTTCCAGTGATTCAAATCAGTGCTGAATTTCGAAGGAAGTTCTCTTTGTCAGAGGCCATAGAGAGGAGGTTGAGGATTCTGGACGGATGTCGAGACGGGATCCGTATTTGAAAGGCTAATCTTATTTCGCTGATGTTTTCAAGGGTGGAAACTTTTGTCTGTATTCATTAGAGGAGAATGATAAATCTCTAATTTGTACTTTGCTAATAATAGGGATGAGCTTTTGTGCTTCATTAAGGTTAAATGAATCTCGTGTAGTCCTGGCGCAGCCTTTAACTCTATGTGTTAAATTCCAGAGTTCTCCGGGACTCAGTTTCCTCATCTGTTAAATGAGGGGAACGGGCCAGATAAGTGGTAAGGCAGTGGAGCCCTCTCTCCCTCCCTTCTGTTGGGGAGCAGGCCGTGCCAGGCCGTTAGGACCCACAAAGGTGATTAAGACACAAAGCTCTTGTCCTTAGGAGCTCCTGGTCTATGCAAATAACTAATTAGGATATGAGCTATAATTGCAACATGCACACATTACTGTAGGAGCATTGAGGTGGAAACAGTGAGCTTTCTCTGTGGGGACAGGCTCTACAAAGACTTCACCGTGGTGGTGACATTTGAAGCCTGAGTAGGAGAGCTTCTTCAGGTGTGCAGACGGGTCAGAGGGTGGGTGGTTCCGACTGTGCGCACCAGGAAGTAAATGCAAGTGAACTGGTATATTTGGGGAGCTGCACGCGCACCTTCTTACGGTCTCTGGGCAGTGTCAGGGGACTAGAGGTCAGCGGCATTCCACTGCTGTGTCAGAATTTGTACTAATGATAAATTACTGAGGTTAGAGAATAATATAGAGCATGTATAAATTAGAGCAGAGTCAAGGTTGTCCTATAATAGCACCAATATAGTCCATTCACATCCCAGTTGGCTTTGTTGAATGTAAGAGAATGGGTGGTGCTTTAGCCAGCTCCCAGGAATTGTGAGTCTGCTGCCGCTTACCTGCGCCACAGCCGTTGGCCTGGGTGTGCCCTAGGGAGGGTGTGTATTGCATGTGAATAACACCCCTTGTGGAGGTCATGTGTGTCCCAGTAGAATGAAAACTGCCCCGAGGGGTATTCTCCTTGCAGTCTGTTAACCACCCCGGGGCATATTTCATTCACACCATTCGTGGGCCCTTGGCTCTTTGTGGCCTCCTAGGAGCTGATGCTACAGCTGTCGACAAAATGCAACATTAGAAGTTGATGCTATAGTTCTTACTTATTAGTTTTTCAAGATGAAAATAACTTTACTTTTAAAATTCAGATTATCAATGTAAGACATGTGCTTTGTTAAAAATTAAAATAATACAGAAATACTACCACACCATCAGCTGCCATTGAGTTGATTCTGACTCATGGTGACCACGTGTGTGGCAGAGTAGAACTGTACTCTGTAGGGTTTTCAGTGGTTGTGATTTTTCAGAAGTAGATTGCCAGGCTTTTCTTCTGAGGTGTCTCTGAGTGGATTTGAACCGCCTACCTTTCAGTTATGCTATTGATATTTTCATTCAAACATAATCAAATGCTTTAAATAATCGTTTTAAATGGCCGCACCATAATCCATTGCATGGTATATTATTTTTTGTTTGGTACCCTATTGGTGAACAATTAGGCAATATCTAGTGTTGTGCCAGTATAAATAATGCTGTGATGAGCATACTTGTAGACTTCTTTTGTACTTTTAGTTATTTCATTAGATTAATTCCTAGAAGTGGTATTGTTGGGTCAAGGAATGCATATTTGACATTTCCAAACCAAACCCATTGCCACTGAGTTGATTCTAACTCATAGTGACCCTGTAGGACAGAGCAGAACTGCCCCATCGGGTTTCCAAGGCTATAATCTTTATGGAAGCAGCTGCCACATCTTTCTTCCATGGACTGGCTGATGGGAGATCTTTCGCTTAGCGGCCGAGCACTGAACCACTGCACCACCAGAGCTCCTTCCATTTTCATACATACCTTCAAAACTATCTTCTAGAAGTTTCACACTATTCTGGCTCACATCTTTGCTGTCCGTATCCATGTCCGAGTCTCTGCCCTCTCTAAGTTACTGAATGAGAAAGTATGGGCAGACAAGGACACTTTAGGCGTGACTGAGAGATGAAGCAAGGTGAGCCTGAGCATACATGAGAGAGATCAGAAAGTACCTGGCATATGTACATATGTTATCAAAAGTTATGTACAAAAATGTTCGTCACAATTCCTAATTGCCAAACACTGAAAACAATCTAAATGTCCATCAGCATTAGAATGGAGAAATCAATTATGGTGCGGTCACGCAGTAGAATACAATATAGCAGTGAGAATGAATGATTGACCACATGCTATGACATGGTTGACTCCCGCAATCACTGTTGAGCAAAGAAGCCAGACATGAAAGAAATACATAATGTATGAGTCCATTTATGTTAAGTTCAAAAACGAGCAAAACTAATTTATGGTGTTAGAAGTCATGATAGTGATGACCCTTTAGGTGGATGTTAGTGACTGGGGGAGCACAGGAGAGTCTGGGGACAGAAAGTTTCTTGATCTGGGTGCTGATTACACAGGTGTGTCCACCTACTTGTACAATTACAATTTATGCACTTTACTGTAAGTATGTTATGCTCCAATAAAAAGTATACTTAAAAAGAGTAATGGGAGGGCCAGGTGGCCAGATCAGGTCAGCTGGATTATGCTAGGATTCCCGTTCTTTTCTGCTTGTTGGAGCCATGCATCCCTCAATTTTTCCCAGATGAATTCTTCCTCATACTTGAGGAGTCAGTTCCAAAGTCACTTTCTCCAGGAAGTCCTCCAGGACTCTCCGTCTGGTTCAGCATCTCCTCTGTGCCCCATGGACCTTGCCCTTATTCTCATGCCGTGTTCTTTCTGCCTGCTTGTTGGGTTCATGTTTCTCAGTGCCATACATAGTGCTTGGCATATAAGAGCCTCCTGAAGGTTTGTTGAAAAAAAAAAGTTAATATTTTTTCACCTTTTCTAACAGGCTTTGACCTAGGATTTAGTATGAAGACCTGATATTATTACTTGCGGGTTATAATGTAGAGAATTCATACAAAAGTTTTGTTTCTGTGATTTGAATGAAGCTTTAGTATATTCCTAGGCACTTCCTCTATTTATTCTCTTGGTATTGTTGTTTGTTTATAAACTAAGTCAGGCAGCTTAGTAGTGGGTAAGAAGATGGTTTCTGGAATCAGACCTACCTGGGTTCAGTCCTGGTCCATCCTTTCCTCTTCTGTGGCCTTGGATGGGTTATTTAACCTTCTGGAGCCTCAGTTTCCCCATCTAGAAAATGAGGATGATAAATAGGGTCACTGTGAATAATAATAATGATGTTAATAAAAGCTGCCAAATTTTGCATGTTTACTATGTGCCAGGCACTATTCTAAGCCCTTAAAATGTATGACATGATTTGTTTAATCTTTCCAATACTCCTGTCTATTTCGTAGCTCAGGGAACTGTAGGTAACACAGTTAGCAAGTGTAGAGCAAGGATTTAAGCCCAGGGGGTCTGACTCCAAAACCTGAGCTCTTAACCACCGCCTCCTATGTTAAAGGAAATAGTGTACGTAGAGTGCTCAGGCTAAACCCTGGTGGCGCAGTGGTTAAGAGCTAAGGCTACTAACCAAAAGGTCGGCAGTTTGAATCCACCAGACGCTCCTTGAAAACCCTATGGGGCAGTTCTGCTTTGTCACGTAGGGTTGCTGTGAGTCGGAATCAACTCCACGGCAGTGGGTTGAGGGTGCTCAGCAGAGTCAGCATATGTTAGCCGTGATTATCATCATTGTCGTTTGCAACACCATTATTAATATTCTTTTTCTCTCTCTCTCCCATTCCCTCCTCTCTTCTCTCCCCTCCCCTGTTTTTGCTCTCTCCTGGCAGATGTTTTTCAGCAAGGTAAGTCTCACTGCATGCTCTGGGTTTTCCATTGACGGTGCTCTTTTGGGAACAAGGGGGGAGTCTGTTTGCAGAGGCTATGGGATTTGCATTCTCTGTGGAGATGTCACATGGGCTTTAGGGGGCACTATAAGGACGGTGGCCTGAGGGGGCCTGAGGCCATCAGCCACACTCAGCTTCTGCTGTCCAGCCTCTGCTTCTTCCTCTGGATCATGCTTGGGTGTAGGGTGGGGAACTAGACCACTGAGGTGGGGTGACTGGGGAGCAGTCTATAGCTGGACCCCTGGAAGGGGCAGGACTGGTGTGGGGCTTGTAAGGCTGGCGACGAGCAGCTATCTCTGGGACATGTCAGGTGTAAGATCTCTTAGCAGTAGCCCCCACCCCCCGAGCCATCCCTCGGGGTTGCTGCATCAGGGCTGGCCGCTGCTCTGGTTAGGTCCCCATATGGCAGCTTAAACGTGTTGCTGTCGTGGAGGTGTGGTCAAGACTATGGCTGCCTGGTCACTTTGTGCTCTTCAGCCCAGCTGTGCCTCATCCCCTCCCAACTGGGCCTATGACAGGGCCAGGTGTGGGTGTGCAGTGTCTTATTGCCCGACCGCCAGTCAAGGTCACGTGTCCTGGGGAGCCGGAGATGGGAAGCCTGAACCCAGACTGCATCTCCTGGCCGAACTGGCAGCTATAACACCCCGCCGTGTTTCAGTCCGCCATTAGGATGCTCAGCCACTGAGCTCTGGCTTGCAGGAGGAGACTCACAGGTCATGGCATCAGTTAACCTGTTAGACACACGTTAAGAGGGGCCGCCTTGTTTCTCTTTGCTATCACAGTTTGAAACGACTTGATGAAAGTGGCAGGGCATAACTGTTTGCATTCAAGCTGGGAAAGATGTTTGTAACACCCATCTGCTATGCCTTTCTTGAATCCAGGGCTGCCTTAGAATAAAAGAGACTGGTTTAAAAATAAATCCAGTCATTCCATAAATAGCTTCCAAATAATCTTCCAGGCTCAATATTTTCACCCTAAACATGCAGTGTGTCACAGGGAATATCTGCCTGCTCCCTCTGATAGAAGCGCAGTGTGAGTTACAACGGTGGGACTGTTGTGTTGTCTTTTGAGTCTGAAGTCATAGACCTACTTCTATAAATAATTCATAAATCCCAGCAAGCTATAAGTAATAAGTTCCATTTGGCTGAGACTAAGAGATGAGCAAAATTGAAAAGGTGCTGTGTCTGTTGGTGTCATAAAAGTCCTGCTGTCAGGGCCCGTTGCTGCTGTGAGTTTTCTGCCTTGACAAATTGGGGGTTCAGTGGGATGCTCTGGGAAGAGAATATTTTTTCTACGAACTAGAAAGCCAGCACCACGCAATGTGGAATTGCATTTCTTCTCCTGAGACACAAAACGTGTGAGCTTAGGTAGCCTTTCTAGAGCGTGTGTGGCGAGGCTTCTAGAAAATGGGGGGAGAAGAGGCTGGTATCAGATGTGGCTTTCTGGGCATAGTGATGAGCGTTCATGGTTGTTGTCCTGGGTATCAGAAAGGCTCATCAGATCCTTTGTGTAAGTTGGCCTCATTTGTTAATCAGTCATGCCATTCTGTGGATGGGATTTGCCTGTCAGTAACAATGATATGCAGAGCAAAAGTTGTAATCATCTACAAATCACTGGCTATCTAGACTTAATAGCATTTACCGGAGATGGAAGCCGCTCGCTATCCATTGCCCTGTATGATGGCATGGTGGCTGCTCCCTTATAAGATTTTACTAGGATTTCAGATGGAGAGAACTGAACTCGGCTTTTGTGAATTATTACATGGCACTGGCCTTATTGCCCCATCTTGTATGGAGACACGGTCTCTGAAATGATGGCATAGAACTCGCCAGCCAGTACCTGCTCCTCCCCATGCCTTGCTTTTGTTTCTGGGCCATTCTGCCTATGAAATTAATGCTCAGTGAAATGTACAGCCAGTGGCAGTCACATTAGACCAAGACAGAATGTTCTGTGTCTTGCAAACAGAATCTAAAACATGATTTCCACAACTTCTTCTTTGGTTAGAACCCAGTGCCAGAATTGTTCCATTAGCTGGCAATATGGGGGTGAAGCATTGTCCTAGAAATAAACTGGCAGAAAACTACGTGGCTTCAAATGAACAGATGCCACTGAACCAACCCCTGAAGCCCATCTGCACAGTGGCGACTCTGAGTAGCTCTGCTCCCCTGACCATAGTGTGGCATCCAGGCTCTCCTTGTTTTGGCGTGGTCAAGGAATCCTGGGAAGTCAGGGGGGATGCTGCTTTGGAAATGTGTGTCTCCTGCAGTGAGTAACTGAGGCCCCTTGACCCAGAGGAGTGTGTTGCTCTGCACTGTGGCAAGCAGAAGAAGGAGGCAGGCTTGCAGCTGACAACATCAGACATCCTCTGAGGAAACAGGAGTTATTTCCTCTGGATTGCATTATCTTTTATTTCACTACAGATCAATCTTGTTATAGCAGGTGACAGCACTGTGGCTACTGCTGGGTTTTTCTCCACACTATCTGTGGTGTGTGCACGTGGGAGGGTGTGTCTACCCTGCTCCTGTGCCATTTCATAGCTTATTTCAGTTCTTTCATCTGTGAATGCCACTTGCCGTGGTGTGTAGACCACTGGCGATGAGAACAGTCAAGGACTCGTGGGGCCCACAGCTGGGCCTTTCAAAAGTGTGAGTTACAGGGCCATGGGGCCACATTTTCAAGGAGGCTTTAATTGACGCACATTTCCAGTTGTCCACAGAGCTCACGAGGTGTTGGATGGCTCTCAGAAACTCCGACGTGCCACAGAGCTGCTCTTCACAACATCAGATGCGATGGAAAATGCTGTCTGTGCACACGTGTCTTGAATTTTGAGTTTTAGAGCACTTTGATACCAATCATTTAAGAATGATGAAGTGAGGACCCCACATGCACACCTCGTTTGAAGTTACTGAAGCACCTTTTGAATGCTCGTCTGTAGGCTGAACCTTGATTCTGAAACCGAACAGAAAACCTGAGTGAGTGGCTTGGAAATCAGAGCAATAGCACTCAGCAGGGCGCTGTAAAGCGTAAGTGGGCACAGTGTAAAGATCTCACCATTGAGTTAATTCTCTGCCTTGTGCTTTGAACTGAAGTCCCTTAAATACTTCGAGACCAAAGAGCCATATCCTCTCCTCCTCAGTTGTCACCTGGATCTTGCTAATGAAGAGGTTTTTGTTTTGTTTTGTTTCCCCAGCTTGAACACCATACAGTCATTTACTCTGCACGCAGTAAATATGTGCCAGGCACTTTCTAGGCCTTGAGGCTAAGGGAGAGAAGAAGACAGCAAAGGCCCCTTTTCTGTTGGAACTTCCAGTCTAGGTTGGAGAGGTACTTGGTAGCCAAGTATGGACATAAATAATTTCATAGAGGGATAAGTGTGGTGAAGAAAATACCACAGGGTGATGTGATAGTGGCTGGGAGGGCCATTTTAGATGGGGTGACCAGAGATTGACAAGAAGGACCAGCTACTAGAGGACCTGGGGGAACAGCAGAGGGTCCCACAAGGGAAACATCTTAGGCAAGAACAGCCTAATGTTCCAGGATAGAAGGAAGCAGGTGCTCGTGAGTGAAGGAGAGAGTCGAGGGACAGGAACAAGGAGAGGAAGGCAGGGTGGTAGTCTAGGGTGAGAGCAAGGAAGTCAGTGGCGGGTTTTAAGCAGAAGAGTGGCACCATCACTGATGGCTGTGAAAACGCAAGAACGTGCGTGGAAAGTCAGGACGGGGGCTCAGTGCGGAGCGGGCTCAGGTGAGGCTGGGATGGGGCCTGCCCATAAGCCCTGACGGCTCCATTGGTTGATCTCTGTTCTCCTAGGCAGTGACAACAGGTAGCCGCATTTCCAGCCAGCTAGCCTCTACTGAGTGCCCACTTTCTGCTTGTTTTGCCTGTGAAGAATCTTGCGCCCATGGCTTATACCTCCTCTCCTGGTGGCCCCATGCACAACAGAATGAAACTCTGCCTGGTCCTTGGCCATCCCGATGATCAGCTGTGGATAGGACCTTTGTGCTCCATAGGGTTTTCATTGGCTGATTTTCAGAAGTAGATCACCAAGCCTTTCTTCCTAGTCCATCTTAGTCTGGAAGCACTGCTGAAACCTGTTTAGCATCATAGCAACATGAAAGCCTTCACTGACGGACCGTGGTGGCTGCATATGAAGTGCATTGGTGGGGATCAAAGCCTATTCTCCTGCACAGAAGGCAAGAGAATTCTGTCACTGAACCATCACTTCCTTCTCTCTAATACGTACCCACATACATTCATGTGTGTGTGTAAATGTATCATATGTTAACATATATGATACATATACGTTGTTTTAAATCTCAGCTGAATATGTTGCAGAGGAAAGGTAGCAAGTCCAAGGTCTGTAGTCCGTAGTAGAAGGAAAGGGGGTCCTAGGTTGTGGCCTCCTGGAGACCACATGCCCATCTGCCGTGGGAAACCACCCCCAGCTCCACAGATTGAAGCCAGGCAGGAATTGGGGCCCAGAGTTGCCAGATCCTTGGGAGAAGCCAAAAATCTGAGATAGTACGTAAAACTTTATTATTTTTAAGCTTTTAATTAAAGCTTAAACAAAGAAACTAAACCTAACTGTGGTCATAATGGTCTCTAATCTCAGGAAAGATTGGTGGGTATTGTTTAGGAAACCTGAGTTTTGCTCCTGGCAGGTTTGCTCCCAGTGTGGGGGAGATTGGGCCAGTTGTTTTGACCTCTGGCCTTAGTTTTCCCATTTGTAAAATGACCTATTTGGGCTTCGTGCTCCTGCCATCTTGAGAAGTTTTATGTGGATTTGAGTTAACAAAGTACAGAAATACTCACAATGTGAAATTCCCATGCTACAGGATTTGGTTCTTCTCTAGAGAACATGGGTGAAAGCAGAGGAGTCCCTAGTGGCTGAGAATTAAGGTTAAAAGAATGTGGGTTTAAAAGTGCAGCCTACTCGCATGGCCATTTTAAAACATCAGTT